TTTTTTCATTTATTTCTTCTTTCTTTTTTTTTTAATTTCATTTTAATACCATGCCACATGTCACCCATTTCAATGGTCCACTTAGTTTATTTAGCCGCCACGTTACACCTCAGGTATTTTCGTTCCAACTTCTTTTGACCATAATTTCGTCATTTGAGCTCCGATTTGGGTAATTCAAAATCCTTTGGAATTGTCGTATCAAACTCTACAATGTGAACACTTTAAAATACTAAAATTATCAATAAACAAAATATTACAATAAATTATATAATATGATTGAAGCTCATAATAAATTTATGCTTTATAACAATAATTCTTACATACCAAAAACAATTAATACTAAGTGTGTTTATTATCATCAAAACATTAATTAATTAAATTAATCAATCGAGATTAAGCGCCAAAAAGGCAGCACATGCTTCTTGAAGTATCCCTTCTAAATGAGGCATTCGACCTGCCTCTTCAACTCGTAACAATCGGAGGTATCATGACCTTGTGGAAGTGGCAGAATTTCGACCTGTTGTGCTTCTCAGGTTCTCGGCTCATAAGGTTGGGCTCAGTGAGTAGGTTGAACTTTTAGTCTTGTATATTGGCGAGAAGTTCTCCCACTGGGACATTCAGGGGTGTGAAGCGATCGTACACCTCTCAGGTCGGTCATGCTTTTGGTCCTACTTCGATCGAGGGCTGCGATCATACTACCGCCAGCGCTGTGGAGACCTTTTAGAGCTATCCCGACCTCTTCTTTCCCTCACGGGGATGGCTCTGGGAGGGTCCTCCCTTGATTGGATGAGCTCGCTCGCTTGCATGAACTTCTTGACTTGTTCTATGCTGGCTTTGATAGTGGGCTCGAGATTTTTAGCAAGAGACCCCTTCAACTGCTCATTCCGGACTCTTGAAGCCAACGCCAAGCAGGCGAACTCTTCGTTGCAGGACACCATGATCTGCACGACGAGGAACCTTCTCACGTAGTCCCTCAGGCTTTCCCTTACCTTTTGCCTTATCGTTAGCAAATATTGGGCTGGGTGTTTAGTCTCTTGCTGAGCAGCGAACTGAGCCACGAAGGCCTTGCAAAGCTGCTTCCAAGAGGAAATGGAGTGAGGCAAGAACTGTTGGTACCATTTCCTTGCAAACCCTTATAGGGTCACGGAGAACGCCCTGCATTTCATTGCGTCAGGATAGCCGTGGAAGCCCATCAACGACTCGTAGGTCTCCACATGGTTGACTAGATCCGCTGACTCATCATACTTGTCGAAGCTCGAGATCTTCCCTTTGGATAAGATCGATGAGGTCAAAATGGCCTAGGTGAAGGGTGGCTTATCGGGCTCGTCATCATCAAAGATCGACTTCCCTTGGACCTTCCGGAGGTCATTCTTGGGCTATTTCTGAAGCTGCTCGAACTGCAATAGGTCCCCATTATTGACCGACTCCGACCTCGACCGGGGATCGTCCCGCATGCCCTCTAGCTCCCAAGGGGGGTCGTTTCCCCTCAAGTCAAGCTTCAACGGATTGCACCCCATCGACCTCTCTTGATCGACCTGATAGCTTTGTCTTTCCCATTTGGGGGTCGCGCTGGACCTCGGGCTTAGGGAGCTCGAGGAGCGGCACTCCAGTTGTTTTGCAGTGCCTCAGGTAGGGCCGCGACCTGAGCCCTCATGGCATCTATTTCTTCTTGTGGGTCGAACATCACCTCGACCTAAAAGCGGGACTTCGACCTTTGGGACTCGGCCCAGGTCTTCGGCTTCCGACCTGCCGGTGGTTTGGAAGCACCCGACCGAGCTTTTGGATCCTTTGAGTGGTGGTTGCTTGATGTTTGGGAACCTTCCGTCATGACTAGCGCTCGGACGATCTGTTTGATTTCGACTTACGACAGTTGTTCCCACAAACGACGTCAACTGTTAATGCAAAAATCTGCCAAGGCACGGAGAATGACCAGGGAGGTCGGGATGCAACACGAAGTATTCTTCAGGGGTACCTGCAAAATAGGTAGGCCACTCCAACGTCCAAGTCAATATAGAGTCCGAGCTCAACAGATGAGTATCAGACAGATTTCGTATGTAGGCATCGAAAGGGGTGGTGTATTTATAGCAGTCAATGGGGTCGATAAACGTCCCATCTGAATATAGCACTGCTCGAGTTGGGTTCTCTCAAGCCACCTCCTGTCCCAGTTAGGGATCAGTCTGTTCCCTACATCACTAGGCAGGTCTGAATGTCAGGCTTCTCCTACTAAGTTTATGGGGCTTACCTGATAGGTCGGTAGTTATGGAAATTTGGGACAGGTCGATCGTCAACAGTTCGACCCTCCAACATAAAATAAACATAAAAATGAAATAACGAAAAAACATGAACATAATTGAATGCATAATAAGAAATATATATATATATATATATATATATTTATATAGAAATTGTAATTTAAAAACAATAACATTCCTTCTTACCCATATTTCTTTCGATGTATAGGTAAACTATGTTTTCTTTTCCTTTCAATATTGGTGTCAATCAATTCATGCTTCTTGTTACTTATCTTATGCGAAAGGATTATCACAAAAATAACAAAGAAATCAATTTCAAAGCTTTTGTGAGCCGCAGGAAACCATAATCCCCTGTCTACCACCCTTTCCTTTCCAATTGTCTAGTCCCAAGGTAAACTTTATATACTTACAAAAGCGAATAACAAATTTGTATCTTTCTTTGAATGAGTGAATTAATGGATTAGTGTTGAAAATTTGTATGGAGCCCCAATAATTAAAGATTATGATTACAATTTAGGAATTTAAAAATCTTTTAGATTTCCAAAAAAAGTTAACTATAATAAATATAAATGCAATAAATAAGGGTAAAATCGGTATTATAAAAAAATTATACATGCAGAAATCTAAATGTGTAAAATTGAAAAATTTTAAACATTTATAAAAACAAGTTTCTTAAACAGCCAACCGGACATTAACTTAAACAATACTGCCTTAACAAAATAAAAGAGATAATATCTTGGGAGGACTATTTTTGAATCTTAATGTTATAAATGTCTTTAATTTTCAAATTTTACACTTTTAGATGTGTGCATGTAGGATTTTCTTTTAATACCGATTCTACCCTTATTTATTGTATTTTATTTTATTATAGTTTTTAAATTTAAAAGATTTGAATCCTTAAGTTGTAATTATATTCATTTAATTATTGTGGACCCCATTCAAATTTTCAACACTAATTCCTCAAATCACTCATTCTAAAAAGATTTTTGCCAATAATACATAGATGTCCACATGATTTTTTCCTCTCAACAATTAAGAACTTCCAATTTTGTTAAAAAAAGTTTTGATTTTTTCCTAATGTTCTATTTCCGCTTAATCCGTCAATAGACTTTTTCCATGCTTTGTTTCCAGTCGTCGGCTGCTGTCTCCAACCGCTGTGTTTGTTCCTCATCGTCGTCATATCAGACCTTCACGGCTTCCTCACGAGGTATTGATTCCTTCTCACCGTCGTTTCAGACCTTCAATTTCCGTCACTGAATAAAATTTCTGTCGACGTCTTTGCACGTTTCCGACGCTGAGCAGTGCATTCCTCGTCTCCTGTCCCATTATGTTTATACCAATCGTAAGTTAATAGTCTTCCCGTTAAGATTGATATATATGAGGATATATTGTATAGTTATATATACATAAGATATGATAATAATCTTTGGCTTGCATTGTCAAGTAATTTTGTAGAAAATGGTATAGAAAATTGAAGTTCTAAACGTCTCATAGCTTAGTCTTTCCGTTAATATTTGTATATATGGGGATATATTGTATATATGTATATATATCTTATAGTTATATACACATAAAGATATCATACTAATCTTTAGCTGGTCTCAAATAGTTCTATAGAAAGGGTCCTCCAAAATTGAAGTTCTAAACGTCTCAGGGTCTGGAGGTTTTCAAATTGTAGGTTTGGAGATTTTTTTGGAGGTTTTCAAATTTGGGGATTTTTTTTTTTGATGTCTTGGGGGTTTTAATTAGTTTTGGAAGGTATGATTAATCTAAAATTACGTGATCTAAATTATAACATTCCAATTAATCAATTTTACATTTTAAAAAGAATTTAAAATTAATTTGTAGATACAAGGATATTTAAGTAATTTGTGTGATGGGTACCCATTTATTTGAGGAGAAATGTGTAAATTCTATATATTCCATCTTGATGTAATTAAGATCTTTAAATAGCCCGTATTAATCCTTAATACAATGGTGTTCAGGCCGAAATGCCATAAATTCTCGTAATAAAACCCAGCCGCCCAGGACAGCCCAGCCCACTCCAACGCGCCAGCCCAACAAGTTTTTGCCCCCAGCCTTTTGAAGAAAACCTAAATCTCACAAACTCAATCTCA